GTGTCCAGCTCTGTGTTTGGTAACAAACTGACATAAATCTCCCCTGAAAGTGGTCCGGGAATAGGCTCCTTACTGCAGTTTGTCCACATAGAATCAGTGAAAGTTTTCTATGAGGCTGTCACACCCAAGAGTTAATAATAATGGCTTAGCAGGGATATTTTATGAGTGTGTGTCCTAGAAGACCCAGAGAGGAAAAGAAGAGGTTCATAGAGTTCACCTCAAATCGTGCAAATCGGGCCATAAGAGTTTTCATCTCCAGTAAGAGGGCTGAACTTTGTAAACATCATTAAATAGTACAGAATCTCAAGTATTTTTACAGGTGGCAGGTGTGTATTTATAATGGAGTTTGAACTAGAAAAGCAGACAAGGAGTGGGATTTCCTTTTTGCCTTCCTGGGAATAGGTCAGTTTTGTTTGGTGATAAAGTACATACTTACCTGAAGTATATGAGGATAAAGAAAAAAAAAAGAGGTTGGAGAAAACTCTTGTGTCTAGAAGGGCACAGCAAGAAAAGCACTCCAGGATGTGCTTTTCATCCTAAAAGACAGGTTACAACATGATGAAGACACATTGAGACAAGCGGTCTTGATACTGAGAACACAGTCACTATAGTAACAGAATTAATTTATGCTTTTTCTCCGTAATCCAATCAAGAAGAAACACCAGTGAGAGGGAAAAATACAGGGAACATGTTCCCATTACTACTGCTTATACTCATAGTCCCCTCCTGAACAGCATTTTAAAACAGATAGCCAAAGCAGTTTAATTGTACCACACAGGTTGGAGGGCAAATAATCAAGACTTTGTTTAATGCTTGTTAGTTATTAGTCTTTTATATTTTTCATACTCTTTTGTTTACTTACCTGAAGTAGCTTTTCTTTACCACAGGCAGTATTTTTAAGGTAGGCTGTAACAGTTCCAGTACACTGATCAGGACAAGCACAGCTATTTTCCCTTATATTAATTCCCCTAAATGTTAGGGGAATAAACAGACCCTTTTCTTGCAAAGACAAATAGATTATGTATTAATAATCTTTTGATTGGTGTGTGCCAAGCCAAGGGCAAAAAGCCAGGAATTCTGGTCCATATTTGAACTGTTCTAGAAACCCTCTGTGAGGATGAGTAGAGTATCAGCAATAGTATCTTGTCAGCTGAGGAGGAAAGGCTCAGCTAAATTGCTAAGTCCACAGTCAATGGCAAAACTTCCATTGTGTTTAATAAAGCTAGGTTTTCATTCTTTGACTTGCATTAGGAAAGGTCCTGCCTTGACACGAATGTCTTCCATGCTGCCACATCTTCTTCTGTGGGAACACAGCAAAGTTTAGAAAGCAGGAGCTCAAAGCGGGCTGTGTTGTGCTGAAATGTCTCTGCTGCGGGGTGCAGGGTGTCGAGAGTTTGCTACCGGGCAGGTGCAAGGGGAGCTGGGGAATGAGATCCTGCAAGTGTCTAAGGGCCTTCTTCCGTGGCTTGGGATATGATCCAGGCAAAAAGGAAAGGGTTTAGTTCTACAGAAAATGGAGGCAAACAGGATAGAATGCTGCTTAGGGAAGTACTGTGCCCAAAGGAGTTTTTAGAGTAAATCACCATCTCAGTACATTATGTTTAACCATAGGGAACCTCAGGATGCAAAAGAACAGTGTAGAGAAACCCTGGTTTGTGTTAACAAATGTGGTTTTGGGAATTGAATCCCACTTGGTATTTCTTAATGCTTTCTTTAAAAAAAAGTCTACTTTCTCCTGAACTGCTCCTATGCATGTGCAGAGCGGCTTTCACTGAGATGAAGAATGGTTCTACATCCCAACTTTTGTATTTTTGTCCTTGAAGAAAGCAATCAGAAAAATCAGAGTCTGTGTACTCTTCACCACTTCTGGCTGTTTTAGCAGCTTAAAACCAGACCTGGAACAAAGATCCTTTGGGCTGGTTCCTCCCAGAGCAGGGGAGGAATCAACTTGCTCATCAGTGCAAGCATCTGCATCTGGAGTTCTGCAGTGTTCTGCAAGATATGTTTTGTTGTTTTCCTAAACTGTCCTTCAATTACAAGTTACTGAAGATTGCAGTGACTAACCTTGAGGTCCCACTTTGATACTTAGACATCATCATAACTTGTTTAGAAATCCTGCTAATATCCCTACTTAGCACAGAGAAAGTCACTTCAACTAAAATAAGAAGCAGTCTTTTAAAGAGATAAATGTTTAAAGTTTGAAAGCAATGACTTCAACCATATCTTTTGGGGGAGGCGAGTCCTTCATGACAAAAAAAAAAAAGAAAAAACCTAACCCCATTGATTATCTCATACTGACTCCTACGTAGGTCAAAGCAAAATTACACAGTAACTTGTATCAAATAAGATTAGAAGGCAGGGATTTTACATTTTTTATGTTTACATTCTTTATCAAACTATGCAGTGCAAGGTCAGGTGACATAAATAAGAGGAACTACCTGACTTCTGTGGGACATGTAATCACCTACAGAGCTGGTTACCTACACAGCAGCTTATGTGACAGCTCCTGCTGAGCTAGAACCAGCTGCTAAGTCCCAGTCCTACTGATCTGGAACTACAGCCTGACTTTCCTCTCTGTTCTTCAAGATATAGGCCACTGATACAGGAGTATTTTCCCAGGAAACCGGGAGCAAAATAGAAGAAAATTCACTATAGAAATCCACGCAGCCTTTTCTGCAACACATTATCTGTAGGTGTATTTTAAAGTATTTTTAAAACCATAACAAATGCATTCATTAAATTACTGCAGCTTAATAACAATTAGATCTGCTATAAAGTAGAATACTTGGGGAGTTTCTAGAAAACAACTGCTTTTCTCTGGAAGTTTATCCCATTGTGCAAAATACATTGTTGCCAAGTAGCCAACCAATTTACCGTTATTTGGTGCTGAAGGAGTGTGTGGGGTTTTTTTCTAATTTTTACATGATGTTTGTTTGAATTTAACAATATTTCTTGAAGATATCTAGGAACACCTTTTCCTGGAATATTTCTTGTCTGATTTCAGGCAAGCTATGTGTGCCTTCTCATCTCTGTATCTAAGTAGCAGGGCAGCTGGGGTTCCCACCACCCATCTGGACCCACTGAAGACTGCTCCTCGCTACCAAGCTGAGAAGTTCTTGAACTAGCAAGAAGTGAAGAGCACTGAAACCAAAGAGGAAATGGAGAAAAACATCATTTACACAGTAATTTATAAACTTTTATTAAAATACATTTTTATTAAAACATTTGCTTTTAATGCCTTGTAGAAATCCATGACCTTGGAGCCATCAGAAGCTGCTGACTTTCTTCAAACATGTCAAAGGAAGAATGGGTACATCTCCAAACTCTGCTTCAGCAGAACGTTTTCTCACTTTTAACATTAACCAGTTGGATTCAGTAAGTTACTGTGAACTTGGCAAGATTCTTAACCTTGTCCTTTTAAGAGTCTGCTTTGAAGAAAACTACTTTCATAAACCGGCAGTAACTACAGGTAAAGGTTCAGCATGCACCAAAGAGCTGAAGTACAGGAGAACCACACAGAGTACACAGATATTACTAGATTGTGCTTTTAAGAAACTACTCGCAGAGACAACAATGAATGCAGATAAGGTGGAAGGAAAGACATCTCGCAACTCAACAAGGATTAAAATGCCAGGGTTACAATAGTTTCAGGTCATCTAACAGACTGATACAGTTTAAAATTCACACTCAGTATAAACGAGACAATATGCCTGTGATGATGCAGGAGGGTAAGCTGTAGGACAGTGCCTGAACTCTCACAGAAAGGCTGGTGTGCCGATACCAGGGATGGCATGACTCTTATTCACTCAGGAATCAGGCACCAGATTTGAAAGTCTCATGTCCATACACTGGGTGGTCTATTCTGTGAGACGAGTGGAGTAGGATAGTTGCTATCTGTGCAGGGAGAAGGAAAACCTCCCCACCACTGACAATCGTGAGCAACGACATTAACAAACGTTGCCTTCTGGGGTCTGTTATCAGCTTCCTCACTCAGCAGTTCAGTACAAGGCTACAAGCATTTCTGACCCATTTCTTTCATTTGCCAGCTTTCCCATAAGAAAACAGAGGAGTGCACAAGCAGATGAGCCTATTTTAAGATTGACCCCTTGGTTACTTACACAATACATATATTGCACTGTTGGGACATTTGTTTATGCCCTTTATCACAGGATCAAAGTGTTCTATTTATGCCCTTGGCACATACGTACTTGTTTACTGGAGTCAGGATTTGTCCTGTATGGTCTCCAATCCAGTGTTTACTTAAAACTACAAGAATATATGTTTTTTGAAAAAAAAAAAAGTCTTTCTCAGGTTTGACACACATGATGATTTGGGTATCCTTGGCTTTGCTGAAGTTTTAAACCAAAAAATTGCTGCTTCAGTTTTTAAAAAGTTTAGATGTTTGGCAGAAACTTGGTAACTAATTTGCGCAAAAAGTTCAGCAAGTTTTATTTTTAACACTGATTAAAGACATGGACTTAACAAAAAATAGATGTACTGAACAATCCATCTCACTTCATTAATGAAATGTGCAGAACCTTGCTGTGTCTGTTTGCAGGAGGTTAGGACTTACCCATTTCTGCATCTGTTTTCTGCTCCCTACAGCCTTTCCTATTAAGTTACTTTGATACCCAGTCCATTTTAATACAACATGAGGTTTCCCAGCAAATTGACTGCCACATTTCCATACTTCAGCCATACAAAGTGTTCCCAAAGCCATGTGTACTTTTTGAAAGTTAATCAGGCAGGTGTGTATCATTGTAGGGATTTCACAGATAAAACTAAGAATCACCATCTTTTGATATATTATTTTCATGAAAATGTATTAGTAAGGAACACTTGTATATATGGTCCCCCCTTTTTTTTTCTCTTTGTTTGTTTAAATTATATTTGGCACAAAAAAAATCAGCCTGTAACGAATTTCAGCATAACAAAGATCCATGGGATCACACATACAATAGAAGGTGACCTTCATCTGTCACTTAAAGCTCCTGCTCTTACTAAGAATCCACCTTGGGAAAGATACTGACTTTATTGTTTCTGCTGATTTTTCTTTCTGCTTTACACTTAGGCTGTTTCGTCTGGATTAGCTCTTCAGGGGTGTTCCCCAAAGGAGGCAGGAGTCGCTTCTTACTGTTTCGGTTTTCTGAGAGCCACTGTGGGGGCAGCTCAAAGGGTCCAAAACCAAACTGCATGGAATACTTGTCATTTACCACATCAGCTTCTGTGGGCACAGCTGGCGCCACCTGAGCTGCAGAGTCTGCAATCGTCTGTGGTATAAATTTGTGAACCAAAGTCTCTCCTACCTCTGAACTGGTGGTAGGAATTTCTTTCTGCTGAAAGTCACCAGAGCCAGTGGATTTGGTCTCATTCTCCTCATCTTCCATTGGCTTGAAGATTTGTTGTTGCCCTATATGAAACATCTCCAGAAGCTGACTCCCCGAACGGACACTGGGCTCCAGATTAGCATCTGCAACACCACTCGAGCTGACAATATTCCTCCTGCTATACCTTTGGTGCAGCTGTACTATTGTTCCCACTAAGCACTTCCGTACAGATTTGTTAACAGTTAAAAATAACAAAGGATTGGCCAGCAAAGAGACCTTGGGCAACCAAATGGCAGTGAGGAGCAAGAAGACTGAAATATCTGAAATATTGAGTATGGTGCGGTAAATCACCAAAGTCACATAGGGGACGCTGCAGAAAATAAATATCATAACCATGGAAAGCAGCATGGCATGAAGCTCAGCTTCTCGCTGGGAGGCATAAGGGATAGAAATTGTATTCTGAGGTGTCCTTAAGGCAGCTATGATGACTTTTTTCTTCTGGCTGGCACTCAGTGCCCTGCGAATAAGAATCATAAAGAGAAATACCACAGCCACTGGTACAATCACAGTGGTGATATTATAGATGATGACATATATCAGGTGGCCAAGGGAGTAACTTGAAGATTCAGAACAGGTGGACATGGCATAAATATCAGACACGTCGGTTACTGCAAATACTGGAATGCTGGCCACTATTGCATGGGCCCAGATATAGATTACCAGGTCTCGGGATTTTGCATCAGATATTTTTCTTTCCAGAGGATATAAAACAGAGTAGTACCTGTCAAAAAAAAAAAATTAAAAATTACAACTGATACAATACAAAGGGTGAAGTCTAACATGAGCATAGTGCTTACAAGAAGCTTCTCAGGAGCTGCCTGAGCATAATGCCCCAAATCCCTAACTGGGTTGCCAACTGACTACCTGCTTACAAGAGGAAAAGAAAAAAAAACCCAAGGGTCTGCCTTTGCAGGTCTGTCTGTAGAAAAAAATGAATATTCAGACTTCAAGATCACATTATTTGTGGTAAACAATTCTTTCAGTAATTGGGACTATATCCTTTGGCTGATGTGTATGAACATTATTTTGAAGATTTCATCATGTACTTACTTGTAAACTGGACAGTATATTGCTGTCAGACACAGCACAACATTTCAGAAAACACGATGGAGGCATAGATATGTCACATTGAAAGGCCAGACACATAGTTAATTTGAAAAGCTGCTTTATAATAGATTTTTTTCTCTAGATACATGGAAAAAGCTGTTTGTCACAAAATACATGTACCCATCTACTGGAAGTACAATGAGGTTTTGTTCTGCACAAGCTCTGGTTGGCAAGGCCCTGGGCAAAAGAGCAGTCAAACATTGGATATTCTGTGTGCCTTTTACAAAAAAAAAAAAAAAAAAAAGTGCGCACTTAACATTTCAGGCACCAATTCATTGTTTGCTTACTACTGTGGACTTTTAAGCTCACAGACTTTTCATGAGAGACCTATCCTTTTACACTTATCATTATAAGCGGTAGCAGTTTGTGCCTTTTGTGGTCACAAGCTTTACTGGTGAAGGGCAAATGATATGCTGTTCCGGTGGCAACACTGGTATGCATTACAGATAAGTGATACTGCATTTATGAAGACATTAACATTAAAGTAAGACACATAGCACTTTATTAGGTATACAGTTTGTTTTTGTAGAGCTAATGTATTCTATGGTGAGACACGATAACAGACTAACAATAATTTTATCTAACATGTATAAATCCACTGGTTTAGTAAGGTACATGGTAGTAAACCAATATCTACCCTTCCTTAAAAAAATCTAACTTACAGTCACTGTAAAGACGATAGAGCTGTACATTTAGGTGGGATCAGTGACTGCTAATAATAGTAAGCAAAATGAACAGAATCCAAAAACTTAGACAGTCCAAAGGGCCACTTTTTGTTTAGACTGATCTTCTAAAAATAAAACCTCTCTGAATTAATTCTGATTATATTAATATCATTTGGGTTTTTCGAAACAAATCTACATTTGGAATTTGAAATTGATGGATCTACCTCAGGCATTGGTGAATTCTTTTAACAGGCAATGGCTTTCAACTTTCACAGTTAAAAATGTGGACCTTGTCTATAGTCTGAAGTTGTACACTTTCAAGTTGCATTACTGAACTAGAATTGTTAACAGGAAGAAAGAAAGGATAAAACCTTCTCTGAAGACAGATCTATAGACTCAAAGTCCTTTATATGTCCAGAGATATCAGAGTAAACTGAAAAATAAAGGGTATCAATGTTTATCCCAATACGTTCTAGAAAGAAATCTGTACACTGTGAGCAAAAACACTGGAACAAGAGCAAGACCAATATGAAAGTGAGAAAAGGGCTTCAAAGTGAGAAAGAAAGTGAAAAATCAAGGATCCTGGCAAATTTGCTCTCTTACCTGTCAAGAGCAATGGCTGGAAAACTAAGGATGGTCACAGAGCAGAAGACTTTGTGCAGAAACTTGGCAATTCTGCAGAAGAGCACTGTATAGATCCACCAGCAGCAGTGTGGACTGGCACTAAGAGCAATGTCAAAAGGCACACAGACTAGGCTGGCACAGATCCCCGAGCAGGCCAAATTCTTAATGAATCGGTTTGTTACAGATTTAAGTACTGATGTTCTGCAAGTTGACCACAGCACCATGACGTTACCTGCGAGTAGAGACACGAAGGATAAACAAAGCAAGGGGAAAAAAAAAACCCCAAAACATCACACACACACACCCCCAAAACCCAGCAACAATAATTTTAACAGATTTGAATGTTCCCTAGTACAGCAAATAAAAATACTTGTCTGGACTTTGCCAGGAGTCACCACTGCTCAAACTAAAAAGTCTGTAATGGCTAGCGGCTTTATAAATCAGATGACTGAAAACAATTACACCCCAGCTATCTCCTCCCAGCTTCTAGTAATGAATGATTTACAGAATGTCAGAGGCAAATGCCTAAGCAGGATATGCAAACCATGTTTTTAGATGCTGATGTTGATTCCTGCATTAAATGAGCCATCCTAAGTATAGAAATTTATAAAGTGCTCATATTTTACTAGCTAGTGCATAATTCTTTTTTAAAGATAAAAATGCTCTGTAAGTAAATATAAATGTAATTAAAATATAAATATATGTTTTTAATCTGTTTGTGTCTGTGTGTCAGTGGATGACAGAAGCTTTGCTTTTCTTCCCACTGGCCACTTCAATGGCACAGATAGGCCTGTGCAAAGCCACATCCAGAAGAAATTTGTCCCCCCCTTTTTCTTTTCCCCAAGATTCTGTATATACATAATAACATGTAATTAAACAAATAGGTCAGGGGAAAAAAAAAAAACCACTTGATGCACATAATCTCACAAAAGTACACACAGACTGCAACCCACCGTTTTGGAAATTCAAGCGCTACAGATTTATTTCAAATAGAGTGCATGGATGGCGGTGAAGCAGAGGTACAGAGAGAAACCAGCATTAGCTAAGACAGTATTTTTTCCTTATCATTGTATCTTATTCTACCCAGATCTCAGAAAGAAATATCATACCATGGAAACAAATTTTCCATTGCAAATTTCCCTATGATTCCAAGTCACACAGCAACAGCACGGGAGTAAATGAAGCAATCTGGTTTTGCTGCATGCAGCCCTGGGCCCCTTCTAATGCATACCAAAATGCCAGAAAACTCACACTCAGAATATAGGATTTTATCTCTCCTTTAAAAACCTGTCTGTAGCAAAATGTGCTACCAGGAAAAAAAAGGCTTAACAGAATTGTGCAAAAATGAAGATGACTTTAATACTAAAGTCTTACCTTGAATGCCATAAAACACCCACAATTCTCAAAGTTTTTGCAACTTCCAATTAATACAAGTGAAAGACAATACTATAGGCGAAGGAAGCACAGACACCCACCACATAAGCACAGAAATGCTCACTTGCCCCAAGAGCATTTCATGCACACAGAAGGACACCCAAAGACAAGCCAGCCCACGATGGCTGGCAGTGAAAACCACACATTCGTGCTTCCACACATGCTGCAAACCGTCTGGAGCGCACTCAGCTCCACGGACCCAGCGTACGTGGAACCACGCCACGGGCCAGCTCAGCAACAGCTCTTCCTTGCTCTACCTTGGTCTGCCCAGACTGAGGAGCCCCTTTCCCCAGGGTCACACACCTTCTGCACCATGTAGCCCGGTCCTGGCTTTCCACCCATGCCTGCACAGACATCATTTTGGCTCAGAGTCCAGCACCAACCATTTTGTCGTTTTCAGTGCCGCCTTCAGAGAGAGCATTTGAAGGCTCATGGACAGCAATGGGAAATACAAACTTTCTGTGTTGAAACTGGGAGGCAGCAGGCGAACATGCAAGGTGACCAGAGTAGGTCAGAAGCACACATTTTTTAAAGATATGCACAGATCATCTATTTCTGAGTGAGTTGTGCAATTGATACTGAAAGCTGCCTGATGTTTCAGCTAAATGTTTGTCACATAAACATCATAAAAACAGCACAAAAACATGCAAAGTTTCCTCAAGGGTTTCACAAGCATTCTTTGTAGACTTTCAAGGTTATTTTCAGAAAGCATTCACCCTTTTATGAAATGATCTGACAAAGAAATGAAAGCAAACATACAATATACAACTCCCCCTAGTAATTATTCACAGTGTGTTTAATGGAGACAAACCTCAAGTGGAGCACATATCTCTTAATGATATTATCCCCCAGCTAATCAATTCTAATGTAGTTCATTAAATAACTCTCTCTCCATAAGACACTAAACAACAGACAGTCATTAAATCATCTTAACAGACAGCAAATCCAAGACAAAAATAAAATCTAATAGCTCAGTGCAGGAGACTGATTAAACTATGTTCAAATTTTCATACTAAAGAAATACTGTAATCATTCTTTGTTAGCCAGTTCACTGTGCACCAGGCAAAAATTGTCCTGAATGACAGGTATTAGTGAATTAGTAAAATTCTCAGTCAGCTAAATTACACAGCTGTGCTCAGTGCATAGCTCGTGTGTGAGCTTGTTGTTTGGCACTAGCAGTAATTACACAGTAAAGGCCAGTACCATCTTGATAAAATAGGATTCTCCTCTATTTATTTCTCCTGGAGAGATACTGAGCAGTACCACCAGATCAACCAAAGCATAGCTACCAGCACAAGAATACTGCTTGACAACTCCATTTACACTGCTGCAGCTGGGCAGCATGCAAAGTAGAGCTTAGCTTCCTACCTCCAAGAAAAGTTAAGTTTTTCTTACTGTAGACTGTATCAACAACGACCTGTTGTTGATACTATATATTGTCAACACTTACCAGAAGCTCTTCTGAGTTAAGTGTAATTGATTTATGAGGCAGTCAGATTTGTTAGTGGTTTTTGTAGGGTATCTACAAATACATACAATGAGAGAAAACAGCATCTTAAGCTGTTGATTGAGATATGAAAAAGCAGCTGCAGCCCCCCACACTTCTCTCTGTGGACAGTACCATTCTTTGCCTTGATTTTTCCTCTAACCAATAAAAAAATCCCAAGCTTTTATTTGCCAAGTAGACTTTTCCCATGGCTGCCCACATAAAATGCAGCAAGATCATATTCTTGTTCACATGGCCAATGTGTGTACCAAGTGGCAAGTACCAAGAAATACCAGAAGGTCAAGTTTAGCTTCTTGATAAACAGTGCACCATTTCAATAGAGGCATGCAGTATTAACTTCATGATCTACCTCACAGACATACTATTCAGGTCTGCAGTACTTGAAAGTCATTTGGAATTCAATTTTCTACATATTGTGTCATGTGTCCCATGCAAATCCCTTTGTGGTAGCTGACAAAATATTGAGTTACGTATTTACTATCTGATGTGTTTTAAAGAATGGAATCATCATCTGGTTTTGGCAGGTGCTTTGGGCTTGACAATATATTCCACAGGCAGTGTTCAATCAGACGTAAAGCTTCTTAAGTTGCAAGGAGATATTCAGTCAATCAAACCACTTGATTTCAAAAATATCTTTAACTCTTCAGTTATTAAAGAAGTACTTCTCACACAGTAATAATATATTATTACAGTGCTCTAGAGTAGGGGAGAAACTAGGGGGGTTTGTTGGTTTTGGGTTTTTTTTTTTTAAATTTAAATCTTTCACTGCTTTTGCATTGCATTTATAACCTTACTTCCAAAGCAAGTTTCACCTCTGTTAGAATGAATATAAATGAAGAATGGAAAAATAAAAGAAATTAAAGGGTTTTTCATTGATACTTTGAAAGCTGCTAGAGAACTCCTGAGCTGTTCTTCAGGATCCTACAGAGGAGCTTAATTCAAGACTCCAGATTCTCAGCTGTTGAATTACTTCTACAAATTAGGTCGTATTGTCATTTATGCATCAGAGAGTCACATGGAAATTAAATGAGTGCTGGTGCTGACTGATCCTAAATGCAAGTGGAAAGAATAAAGTGTAAAAAAAAAAAATACTAGTTCTAAGATGAAGAAGAACTCTTTAGACAGACAAAATAAAATCAGAGCCTGAAAAGGGAAAAAAGGATAAGCAGACAGAAGTGTCCACTTGGGACACTGGAAAATTAGTTAGTAAATATCCCTCAGGGAAACACTCCTTTTCGACCTGCAACTATGAGTAACTTGTTTATTAATAAGCTGCTCTGATGAACCAAATCAATTTCAGCACAGACCAGTAGATCTTTCTGCTGATGCCTTCAAATCCAGTATTTCCCTTCATGCATCTCAAAGCCACCCACTCAGAGGAAAAAATTACACCAGAAACTTTGCATGGCATTAAATATTAATGCTGCCTGCATTTCTCATTTCATTGCTCCTCACCTTTCCCCAGCAACTCCTTTCCGTGGAAGAGGATAACAACTCTCCAGGCAACAAAGTAATTCAACAAGCATTATAGCAATTGCACTCTGAATCTTTTCACTATGTCTAGAGGAACTTTTCTGTTCTGTATGTATTAGTCATCCCCTGTTGAACCCGTGGAAGACACTAGTGTAACACCAGTATTCTCCTTGGCTTACAACTGTACTAGGCTGTTGCACATCCTCACAGTGAGCAAAGCTGTCATTTCATACCATGGGTTAGTTTCTGAGGTGTTTCTGCTGGGTAACTGGTCCAGGGCTACATAATCTTGGATTCAGACTTCCTAACAGGATTGTACTGGTTAGCTGTGAGGCAACCAGGGACAGCAGGAGTGAACAGGCAGCTGGAAAACGCAGCATCTTGCTGCCTCCTCTAAGTCAATACTGCTTGGGACAGCAGTGTCACTTAAAAACAATCACATGTGACAAAGCATATCCCACACTGGTTGTAAAGAATTCCACCACTACAAGAAAAAGATGAAGTGTTTTTCACTTAAAAAGGAAAGTCTACCTTTGGTCTTCTCAGAGAACGAGCTATGTCTCTACATAAAAGCCTTACTACACCTGACATTAGCTGACAACCTTGTCAGTGTACAGGCTGAGTGAGCAGCAGCTAAGTATCCAGCTTGTCTGTGCCTTTGAAAATTCCTCCAAGTGAAAAAGAGAAACAGAAAATACTAAAGGTAACCACTGCATGAGAATCACTGCATGAAAAGCAGCTTTTTTCACATTAGAAACAAACACGTGTATAAAGCTTTCCAAACAAGGTCAAAGAAAGTTCATTTTATCCTCTTATAT